AGGGGGGGAAGGGAGTATTGTCTATGTGCTCTTCATTCTAGGACAAATTGATTTATTAGGATAGAGAATTTTTTCCCTCATAACTAAAATACGTTTGCTGTAGAAATGTTAGAAACTACAGATTAATACCATGAGAAAAACAGAAATCATATCTACCCCACCACCCAAACGTAAGTACTATTAACATTAGGTTTATTCTCCACCAAGAAGTAGTTTCTCAACACAATCACTGGAATTTTTTCAAAGGTAGGACATCATTTTGTAATTTAGTTTTTCATTTCTCATATCATGAACATTTTCCATGTTATTAAATAGCCTTCCCAACAGCCTCACACATTTTGAGCTGTTTTCCATGCTTGTTAATGTGATGTGTGAAAATATGGTAACGTGTTTCTATGCTGAATACTCTCCGAATGCTCCCTAAAACGTCAGAAAGGTCAAAATTGTTTTTCCTTTGCGAATTGCCCGTTTATGTCTGTTTTCCATTGGGATCATCTTCTATAGGGGTGTTAATCAATCTCACTGGCTTTTTGTAATATCTTTTGTAAAGGGCATACTGGCATATAAAATATTGAGCTTAGAGTCGGTCCTTTAAATTTGTCATAGTATTCTTGGTAACATTTTTCAAAACGGTGTTTTTGTGATTATAAAAATAATAATTGCTGTAGAAGATTTGGAAATATCAGGAAAATATTAAAAAGAAAAGGCTATATAACTCTACCACATAGGAATCCAATTTTTTTGGTATGTGATATATCTCAGGTTATATCCACTGATACAAACAGGAACTTGTATGCAAATGGTAAGTGTGACAGCCTTGTTCAATGCTGTTCAACATTTGTTAATTTAGAACAATGCTTGATATGTAATAAGAGCTTAATACATATTTATTGAGTAAATTATATTTTATATGTATTTATATTTCAAAATTATATTCTATACATTCAATATGATATGGTATTAAATATTTCTTTTTTTTTTTACTCCATATACTGCAAAAATCTTTCTAAATCATAAAATTTTAAAAATATATTTGGTAACCTAAAGTTTCTCAATATAGATATATAGTACATTAATTTATTTTAAAAGTTTGCTATTGTGGAATTAATTTTGTTTTAAATATTTTCCATATCACAGGTAACACTGTAATGAACATATTTATAAATCTTCATATAGAATTTAGATGATTTCCTTAGGATATATTTCTAGACCAAGAACTATGAGTTTTAGTACACAGTCTCATATTATTACCTCAAATAATTGTATGACTATACTCTTCATTGGGCATCATAAAATGAGATTCCATCAAGGTCAGCACTCTTTTAGCAAACTAGTACCACTATCACTTCTTACTCCAATAGTAATACTAGTTTCCTGACAAATACTGTTTCTATGACTTTGATAATTTTTTAAATGAAATACATCCATCTAAGATAACAGGAAGGGAATAATGTTTTCAAGAGATACACTCACAACAGACCTCTTTAAATGATAAGGAAAGCCCTAGCCCATTTGCCTCAGTGCACTGAAGGGTCCTGGGTTCAATTTCGGTCAAGGGCACATACCTGGGTGGCCAGCTCGATCCACCCCAGTCAGGGTGCGTGCAGGAGGCAACCAATCGCCATCGATATTTCTCCTTCCCCTTCTCTCTTTCTCTCCCCTCCCTTCCACTCTCTCTGAAAAGCAATGGAAAAAAATATCCTCGGGTGAGGATTAACCAAAAAAATTAAAAAATAAAATAAATAAAATAATAAGAAAAGCTGCTCGGCTGCTGTAACTATTGTCCAGGAATGATGAGAGCATCCACCACACACATAATTGTTACAAGACTTGATAAACCGAGTCTCCTTGTTTCAAGCACTGACAAGCTACTAAATTTATCTTCACCAATGCACTGGGTTTTAACAAACCCTAAGTGATCTCACTTGTACCATTTTCTTTGATTTTCCTTCCTTTAAAAAAATACTTCTAACTAGGTCAGACAATACTTCTAACTAGGTCTAATGAAGACCTGAATATGTGGTCAATTTTTACATCTTAATTTTTAAAGTTGATTCTAAGAAGTACATTTACCTAACAATGAGTCATCTCTGTTCTATTATAAATTATAATAAAATGCTGAGCATTTCCTTCATTTTACTGGCATCAAAATAAGTGATGTCCTTGGGTGAGGACATCCAAAAATATAATTACCTACTGACTGAATAGAAATGGAATAGGATTCCATTTCTATTCAGTCAGTAAGTTAATTATATTTTAAAAGTATTCAGTTCTTTTTTTTTTTTTTAAATATATCTTTATTGATTTCAGAGAGAGGAAGGGAGACGGAGAGACAGAGATAGAAACATCAATGATGAGCGAGTCATTGATCGAGCCTGCAATCTGGGCATGTGCCCTGACCGGGAATCGAACCCCGATCACCTGGATCCTAGGTCGATGCTCAACCGCTGAGCCACGCCCGGCCGGGCAAAAGTATTCAGTTCTTGCTGTGCAAAGGTCAAATATTCCTGACACCCATCCTGGTTTAGGCTGCCTAGATTCTCCATCTTTTTCATACAATTTAACAAATGTTAAAGTAGCAGTTGCAGTATTATTTTTTAAACTCCCTAAAACTTTTGAATGTTGTTGTTTTCCAATATATACGGATATCCCCCGCTTTTCAAAAGTTTGCATTACACCACTCATTTTTACCAAAGACCTACATTAGTACCTGTTTTCACTAACCAAAAGAAATCCGAAGAGGATTTTTAATTTTACAACAAAAGGCAAAAAGCGAAAGTAGTGTTCCTCTGTGTTTGGCAGCTACCATTATAAGGCAGTGGCATCCCCCACAGTGAGAGAGGCCCCGCCAAGCTCCTTCCTGGGAACTACACTCAGCATCTGAGCATCAAGCCACCAGAGCTGTAAACTGTGTCTGTGAGCATCTGTACTTTATCTCAGTTTATTTGGTGCATCTATTAGCAAGATGTGTCCTAGAATATCAGAAAAGCCTGAGTGCTCGTACGGGTGTTACACTGAGTGTAAAACTGGACATAATTAAGAGTATTTGGTATGATTTGGTAGGTTATTTTTTTTTAATCTGGGAACACTCAAATTTTTTCCCATATAAGTGAATGTTAACTGCTTCTTCACTTTATGCCTTTTTGGCTTACAATAAGGTTTCATAAGAATGCTCTACTTTCAGATGGTGGGGGAAACCACTATAGTGTCTACCTAAATAAAGAGGCAAGCTCAAAACTGTAAAAAATTAAAAAGTAAAAAAAAAAAAAGAGAGAGATGGGTTTAATGGGGAATAGCAGAGGAATTGCAACTTGGAACACATACTGTAGCAAGCTATGGGCAAATCCAGGAGGGCTTGGGGTAGGCTGTACTCATGGGTAGGAAACAGAAAGTGGGGAAAGTTTAGAGTCTGTTAAAATCAAAACAAACAGAGACCAGCTTTGAAAATTTCTCAAGCAGACAAAACCAGTCCAGTCATACAAATAAAGCTCAATTTAGACCAACCTGTGAGACCAACGCAGCCTGGGCCATCTCGTTCACGTTTCTGGAAACAGATGTTTATAGGCTTATGGTTTATGAGCAAAACTGTCAAGGTTGATATGAGACAACCTCTGATTAACTCCCTAATATTTAAGAAAATGCCACTATGATCAGTTTTCTGTAAACCATGCATTTACAGGAAATCAGTCTCTCAGTCCTTAAGTTTTGTTTCTCTAGGGGCACGTGCATGAGATTTTCCACTTTATATCCTCTGGTCACTTCAGACTGAAATTCTTTCACAACAGTATGACCTCATTTTGATAAAAACGAACTGTCTTCACCTAGGCACATAATACGTATTTGTAATGGAAACAGGAAACAGTCCAGAAGGATCAGACATTACCTCTTGCAGTAGATCGCTGTGGGGGCTCACCGCAGGGTAATGAATGAGTTTACACTGTTACAATGACTACGTGTTCCACATTTGCTCTTAAAAAAGCCAATCGAGATGTTTTTTATGATGCTCCTCTTCACAGAAATGTGGCCTAGCCCAATCTGAAAATAATTATCTACTCTGGAGTTACTTTTCTGGTACAGCATGTCATAAATACTGGTGGATAAGGAGCCAATCCTCGCGGGTCCATCTTTCAAGGCTGAGTTTAGTCAAAGGCTTGCTCTCAGACTATAGAATTATTTTTCTCCTTGGAAAGCACGAAGTGCAAAGAAGTAAGAAGAAACTCTGCTCTTATTCAGATAACACTGTAACGACTGCGTTAACGTGCCCTTACGATTAAGAGTCGCTTACACACATCCTTGCTACAGGCACGGGGAGGTCAGCCCCCCACAGCCAGCCAGTCTCTCTGCCGCGCACAGTAGAGTGTGACTATGTAGCTTGTAAATTACAACGAAGGATGCCCCAAACGACTACTAGGTTCTGCAGTTAGCATTTGCTTGGAAGAACGCCCCCCCCCCCTTTTT